CCCCAAAACCCCAAAACCCCAAAACCCCACACCTCTGAATAAATATTGAAAATATAATAAAAATAATAATAAAATGGAAAGTACTCCCAAGACTTCTAAAGAAAAGGGCACCCAGAAAATTAGGTAACTAAAAGCTTAGTTTTAGAGTGGTCAAATATTCCACTCTCTAATTCACCATACGTCTCGAAATTTCAATGTTTGAACCAAAATTTGACAACTTAGAAATAATTCCATTGAAATTTTTTGTTCGAGAAGTTTTTACTTCAATTAAAAGAATTTTGCCTGCATCATCTATCCAAAATCTATTTTTTGCCATAACAGATTATATTTGTTTCTCATAGTTCTGACTTTAGACTTTTAAAACTACAATTAACACTCTTTCCAGAATGAAATTTAAGCTTTCTGATGGATTCTGGCATGGATCCCTCTCCTTGTCCATCTCTAATTGTGAAGTCTAGAGAAATCTGTATTGGAAGAAACAAGATTTTAGGACATGTCAGAGTATCCTCTATAAAATTTTTCCAAATAAAAGAGAAATTGAGCCATTGGATTTAGATTCTAAAATAAATCCCGAATATAGTCGACTTTATATTGATTCCAGTGATCTTAGAGATGTAAAGCTTGCCCAAAGTTTCAAACACTTCAAGTTCTTTGATATAAACTCGGTTGGTTTTGGCTGTGTTGATTCTAAAAATAAACATTTTGGAAATTTCTTAGAATCCTCATTTCCAGATAAAACTAATCATCTTTGTCTTTACTCCTGGAATAAAATGGATCTGAAGAGGTCCAATTACTTAAACCTACTGCTCAGGATCAGTTCTAAAGTCCTCCAAGAAGTTTCATTTAGATCTTTCTGCATCGACCTCCCCTCCCTGAAGAGGCTGGTGGCAACTTACAAACATGTCAGAGTGTTAAGATTGTGGGATTGCAGGTTATCAATCCCAAGTGTTCCTGATTTTTCAAAGGCTCTTACAAGCTGCCAGATCCAGGAACTAGGTTTAGATGGATCCGGAAGCTCTGATTGTAGTGACTGGGAGAACAATTTCGACGGGTTCAAGAACTTGGTCCAAGGATTAGCAAGTTCTCCAGATTTAAGATTGAGTCTTAAAGAAGTAGTAATCAATGGCTGCTGAATAAAACAAAATAAAGCTGAAAAAATCTTTGAAGAAAACCAACTTGGAGGAGTTAAAATAACTAGTAGGAGTTAAATTTTAGTAATTGTCTCTTTTATTTTATTTTGTTAAAAGGATCATTTCTCCACATTTGACACTCGGTGGCTTTTAATATATTTTGAGGTTTCGATTAAGCTGGGGTTTTGGGGTTTTGGGGTTTTGGGG